CGTCCCCACGGGGCAGGGCAGCGAGCGTCTCCCTTCCGCGGAGGGGTAGGGCGAGAGCCGAGCTCTCCTTCCAGCCCTACGCTCCCCGGCACCGGGAAGGGAGTCTGGCTGCGATGCCTCCGGAGATTCCTGCTTCTGCATGGCTCCTTCGCACCTTCCCAGCGTGGGCTGTGGGTCCCCCGAGGGCCACGCGCTGGCCCTGGGGCAGGTACTGATTTTTCGCAGGGAGTAAGTGCAAGTTTCACTACGTCCTAGGGGATGTTTGGAATTCGATACAAGTGGTGCAACTCACCCTGCTGATATTTCAAAAGAAAACGTCAGGTCCTACAGGATATCGTATTGTTAAACACACACAGAGCATTTTAATAATCGGTTTCTCTAGACCGTTATTTGTTTTAAATGGTTTTCGCTTGGATTTTCCAATAATGCAAGTGTTCCCTGTTACCTTTAGACACAATATCCATCAAGGAAAGCTGTAGATGGGGAACAGCTGCCCTGAAGCTGTGAGCATTGTGTTTTTGATAGCTTTATACCAACCCCAGCAATTTATTCCAGAGTTCAAATCTGGCTGCCTTGGCATCCTTTATGGAACTAACGCAAATCAGATGTTAATATTTCCAAAAGGAGCTCTAGCGTTCAAGGGGAATGGATGGATATTTGGTCACATTGGCTTCACTGGACAACATGAAAGGAGATCAATGTGTGATCATGATTTGCAATCCTTATTTTTGACTGATGTGGGCAATGTCTTTAGAGTTGTTTCAAAGAAGGACATTTTCACAAACCCACACTGGACCTCCCCCAGACTTTTAGAAACAGGTGGCTTGTTTCAGCCAAGTTCATGCCATGCAGAAGCTCTTTTTTTTGTGTCGACTGTAAAGACATTCCTTTAAACCTTCAGTAAATTCTTTTGGAGCCCATCTCAGATGCTTTGATCATGTGTGTTAGCATGTCCTCCGCTGCCTGGTAATACATGGACTTCTGGGGAAATGTGATTTTCTAGTCTGACAGTCTCCTGATTGCCCTGGGTTCTTCCAGTAATACCTTCCATGGAGTAAATGCAGTTTTGCCCTATCAGCTTAGGGGAGGTGGGTAAAGCAGCAGCTTCTAGATGGTTCTTCTCTGTTCTATAAGCAGTGTCCTTTTGCTTTAGATAGCCACTGTTTGTAACATTGTACTTGGGACTCACATTTCCGGGTGGACTTGAATCATAAAGCAGCTGACCTTCGTCATCAGTGTCAGCATCTATATATTTGTGTATACCAGCATCGTGGAAGTTGAAAGCTATGGCTGTCTGTGTCTCTGGTGACTTTGGGGGTGTTCTCGCACTTGCGGTTGTGTAGATCGAGGTTTCTGGGCTCATGAGAGATCTGTCAGAGAGTAAGGAAGTATCTGTGGCCGCAGCAGCAGCTCCCCGGCTCTTCAGAGGGTCTGGATATATTCTCAGTATATTTGATGCTGGTACTAATGTGCTGGTGTCCTCTTCCATGAAGTTCACTTTGAGAGATCTTAGTTTTAAAGGGTTACTGGCCTTTATGGAGCTTTTGGGACTTTCTATGAAAAATGCCGAACGGTGGCTGCCTTCGGAGCTTGGGTTCATTTCCACAAACCTGGCACCGCTCCCCTCTGGCCTGCTCTGCTCCTGAATCACGTTAATGCCACCTTTGCAGGGAAGGGTAGCGAGTGGGCTGTGGGAAAACCTCCCAGAATCAGGGAACTCTGCTGCACAACTTATGAAGCTGTCGATGCTGGACATGCTCCTCATGTCAATGATCCCATCAGCACGAGTTGTCAGCAAGGGCACCATAGGGCCAGGAAGGGTTTCCATTTCTAGCTCTTCCTTTTGCTTTCCAGGCTGACTCGACTCTTTAGTATTAAGGTTTGGCTGGGACTGAGTCTTTGCCATTTTGTTATACATGTCCTCTAGCTGTTGGACATTCAGGTGCTGGGGACTTGAAGATGACCTGGCTTTTTCTGGAGATCCTTGTTCCTTAGTTTCAAAAGATTTACTAGAGCTAGTTTCAGAGAGCGTTCTCTTGGTCCATTTCCATTTGCTGGGAGATAAATGATTGTCCTGAACTTTATCCTTTTTGGCTATGTTTTCTCCGTTCTTTTCAACCACAATGTCCATGAGTTCTATACTACGGGCAAACGCATCCTTCATGTTCATGGAAACAATACTGCCATTCCTTTTTGCTCTTTCAAGAGCTTCCCTGCGCTTAATGGCTTTCTCCTGCCTCTTCTGCTCTTTGTAGAACTCTGAGAAGTTATTGACAATAATTGGGATGGGAAGAGCGATCACCAGTACTCCAGCAATGCAGCATAGTCCTCCTACTATTTTACCTAGAAGTGTTTTGGGGTAGATGTCTCCATAGCCTACTGTTGTCATGGTGATTGTTGCCCACCAGAAAGAAGCTGGGATGCTCTTGAATTTTGTATCATCCTCATCCTTTTCTGCAAAAAACACTAAACTGGAAAAGATCATAATGCCCATGGCCAAAAACAAGATGAGCAATCCAAGCTCATTGTAACTCCTCCTCAGTGTAAACCCCAAGGACTGTAAACCTGTTGAGTGCCGGGCGAGCTTTAGAATCCGCAGTATCCTCATAATCCGAAATATTTGGACCACTCGTCGTACATTTTGGAACTGAAGTACACTTTTATTGGATTCTGTGAGGAAGATAGTGACATAGTACGGTAAGATAGCTAGCAAATCAATAGCATTCAGTGGGCCTTTGAAAAACTTCCATTTCTTAGGTGAGGATAGGAACCGCAAGAGGTATTCCATTGTAAACCATGCAATGCACACCGCTTCCACGTGGGCAAGTTGGGGGTTATCTGTGGTCTGCCCAAATTCATCCACGCCTTGTAATTCAGGAAGTGTGTTAAGGGACAAGGCAATTGTAGATAGTACAATAAACATGATGGAAATGATTGCCAAAATCTGCAAAGGAAAGAGAAAATGGTGAGTTCATCTCAGACTATATTACGCTATCATTACCATTAGTGCATGGCTGTATTTCCACTTACACACTTTGAGACTAATTTTGCTCTTAGTACACAGAAGTCAGATAACCAATGCATCCTGAGGTGATTTTATTTTGGAAGCTGCTTTTTATGTCAGATGCATAAAGGAGATGAGATAAAGCATCTACTTCAACTCCTGTGCCTTCATCTATGTGTAGTCAAGGAACATGCCCCAAGCAGCTAGGATGCCACGAGGGCTGTGTAGCAGTTATCAGCAGAAGCTTTTGATTAACTACTAATTAGGTGCCCAGCAAAGCCCATCTGGACAACAGTGTCTGAAAGCTAAGCAAGAAGGAATACAATTGTGAAGGCAAGATTCCATCAGAATGATGTCCTCCATTTAATGCACAGTCGCATCTGTAATTTTGAGTGCCTATGGCTAATTACAGAGACGTGTGTACATATAAACATAAAAGTAATACACCCTTTTAAAATGACTCATCTCTAATTTGAAACTTGACGGTTGTGAAATACATGAAAGCTTTACCAAGCTTTCTAAAACATTTTGAGCTCTGAGCTACTCTGCATGCGACCGACCGGCCATCCTAGCTCCTCATCGCAACCAGGGGCAAGAGCAAACTCATCCAGGCAAACCAAACTGCACAACACTGAGACCATCAAGGCAGGGCAGGTCCAACCACTGGAGAGCTCATCCATTATCAGAAACCCGCTCTTGGGCTAAAGAGTGCAATGAAAGGAGAAGGGTCTGCAGTGAGCAGCCTCTCTAAAAATCCACATAAATCTGATCTGATCCTGGGCCACCGATTCTATGCAGAGCCAGAAAGCGTGAAGTGCTAAATTACAAATATATTTGTTTGCAGCTTTCAGAGGGTGTAGGCCAGCTGTCCTTCCATACCTGTTTTACATAGACATTAATGCTATACTTTCCAGTCTTCCCTAATTACATCTTTTAAAGTCATTTTAGGGAGGTTTTAGAGCTGACAGACAATTTGAGGAGTGTTTTTTTCCTACTAGTGAATTCTTTCTCTAGTTCGTTAATTGAGTGGGATTATATCTAGTTTCTTAGGTTACTGCCAAAACACAGCAATGATTTCAAAACACACGTATATGTGACTAATGTTTTTTGTATTCATTTCAGTGTAAGCCGGTCCCTTATGCTCGCTTTTCTCCTGCTTGATAGAAAAGCAGCATGAAATCAGCTGCAACGTCTGTGCATGATGACTAGACACACGATATTAAGCAATGCATTATAAAACGTATGACAAGAGTTCTGCATCATGAATTGCAAATCTGACACACTCCTTCCTTGCCCATGTAAGTAGACTTTAGGTTTCCTCACGGTGACCTTTCTCAGCCAGCCTCACAATACCAGAACATCCAGTTACCACCTGGGGCACCGGACAAAGAGATTCTTGCAGGATTTCTCTTCAGCCAAGCCCAGCACAGCCATCCTAACAGTCAGGAAATATCAGAGTTCTGAACATTTATCCCTAAACGGACAGTCACTACAGTGGAACAAGCCTTGCTGCTCTAGGAGAAACATGCAGATCCAATACGGTTCAGAAACACCGTGGTCTTCTCCAGAAGAGCCTTGCCTCTTCTCCAGAGTTGAAAGGCAGAAATGGTCTATAAAGGCTGGAAGCTTCACTTGAATTTAATTCATATAGCAAGATTAAGCTATGGCTTTAGGAGAAAAGCCTTCAAAAAATCTAAACTGAAGGCAAGAGCTTCAATTTTGAAATTTTGATTTCAACAAGTGTTTTAAAATCCACTTGCTGTTAAAAAAAGCCCTTCCAAATCAACGTAATAAAATAATTTACCTTTTAAACTCACTAAAATGTACTCTATAACTTTGATTTGTACATGACACTGCAGACCTAGTAATTTAATCTGAAGAATGAGATTTGACTAGAAACAAAAATTAGCTCCATTGAACACTCTGGCTTCATTTTCTAAATTGGATTAGATGGAAGAAGTGAATGGTGTAAATAGCCTCTTATGCAATGCTCTAGTACTGGGAATTTTAGAATGGTCTCACTTTCAGTTACTAAATTGCTGCCAGGAAAAATGCTGGGAAACTTCCTTTTCCTTTTGAAACAGGTTACCTAAAAGAATGTTGTTATCTGTGCTGTGCACCCTCACAGTGCTGGCGGACCGCTCACCTCCTCCTCGCTACCTTCCTCTTCCATAAATTTGCTGCTGAAATACGAGCAACCCCACAAGGTGGGGTTTGCTTTGTTGAGAGACTTCTCAACGAGCCAAAGACGCTCGGGAAAGACTTAGGGCATGCAAAAAAGTAGGAAGAACCACGGGATGAAGAGAAGCAGAGAGGAACGCAGGGAAAAGTGCTTGAACCGATGGCTTCAAACTCCAGAGAATAAAATGTAAGTAAAGTGTCTCATGTCATGCACTACTTCTGCATGGTTGGTTGTTTCAAAAGACCATGTCCTGAAGACCAAGTAATACTCCCGAGAAGCAGGGAGCCTGATTTGCTTTCCTAGAAGGCTCTTTTAGTGTTTTTGCTGTCATTGCTTTGTTTAGAACCCAATGTTTGGTGTGGGGATGTTTTCAATGGTAAATTCAATCTTTTGCTTGGTTTTATCTCTGCCCACTATAGACAGAAGGGCTTATTTGTAGACCTAGATGTACCTAGTGTGTTTTATCTCCTTCACTTTCAGTGTAAATATTAATACTCCATCTTTATTCAGCGGATGGCATCCAGCAGCAGTAATTGGTGTCAAACCTTCTGTTTCCTTTGATATACCTTCCTGCTTTGAAGATCAAGGCAATGCCAGCTGAATATAAATTTGAAAAGTAGGAGATCTGAGGGTAAAATTTGTTTTTGGTTTAGCAGATTTAGCCACAGAGATAAGCAATAAATAGAGAGGAGACATTTATCATTTCTCCTGCAAGTTGCAGCAAGATGTCACCTGTGCTCCTAAGATACAGCTTTTTCTCCTTATTGATCTGCAATCATACATCTTTGAGAATCTTGCCAGGCTGAGAAAAACTTCTGTGAGTTGACTGTCCTCAGGTATGTAAAGTACTTTTCAGTTGGAAAGTACAAAAAACTGGGAGATGAAATATCTCCAGCGGGGTTTAGAGGATCCTCCTCCTTCTATAAAGCATACCTTGTCCTGGTAGCATCCACCATCCACCAAAAACCACCCAGGGAGCAGCTGTCCACAGAAAACTGGATCCAGCTGCTGCTGTCAGGCATTAGCACTGCATTCAGTGGCACAAGGCTCTATCCCAATGTATTTACAGTCTGGGATTTCGGATTATGGAAATCACCGTCTGTCTGTCTAATAAGGTTTCCTATCTTGGCCATACCGAACCTCTAGCTTGGCAGCTTTCGTGTTTTCCACCGTTAGCGATGAGAGACAGAAAGCTGAAGGAAAGACATTTATGCCACCAAGAATGCCTCTAGAGATTCTCTGTGTGGCAGGCAGCCTTTTCATTCAATTCCTGGCCTTTCCTCTTCCAGATTCACTTCTCGTTAACGAGAAAAGCCAATGGGACAAGTTTGGACTTGAGCAGGAACGATCCCTCTGCAGTGAATGAGGCTCCAGCTGCTTTAGGCAAGTGGTCACTGGAAAAAAGTGCCTGTTGTCCCTGCTGCAGAGCACTGACCCAAAACCTCGCTGCTGCATCGGCTGCTACCTGCTGCTTGAAATGGAAGCAAGCATGGGGAGAGGGCCTCCTCCCGTAGCCCCAGTTTTCATGATTCCTTAAAAAACATGCAACATGGCCTTGTGCTGGTGAAAACTTTTGGACTGGCAATCAAAGAGCTGAGGTTGAACAGGCTCAAGCACAGAAAGGTCCCTAGAGCGCAGAAGGGACAGGGACAGGAAAATTAAGCGTCGGGGCCGTGTTCGTTAGATTTTGTGAATGCTGCTGAAATGTGCAGCTTCCTACTTACGGAGCTAGCTGTAGCCCCCTCCGAGGTCTTGCTGCTGGCTTATCTGGCATATGTTGGCTTGTTATGGGGGCTGGGGAAGGCACCTCCAATATCACTGCAGGCGCATCCAGAGCTTCTGACTTGGATGCCCCATGCCTGCGGTAGGTCCTATAAAACACGTAGCTAAAACAATGCGAAACCTTGCAGCCTAGAATTTGGAGTCATAGGAAAAAGACTTGGAGGCACAAAAGGCTGAAGTGACTGGCCTGAGGACAGGCCACATCGGCGGCAGAGGCAGGCGAGGGAACGAATCCGTGTATTTCTGGTGCCGCATCCATGAGAGCTGTTCTCCACCGTCCTCACATGGGCTCCGTTGGAGCTAAGGTCAGGAGCCCTGGCAGGCCATGTCTTACTGGGCAGGTATCCACAACAGAGCATCACAAACACTCCTCAAACCGCTCATAAAGCTGACAGGGTTTAAGACTATTTTTTCCCTGCACAACTTTCAGACCATTTTTGCCAACAGATTGCACGAGAGAAGCTGTGTACTTCCCTTCCTCTTTGTTTCTGTATTTACTCTTGCATCTCACCTGTAGAAACACACCATAAATTGTGAAATTCCCCATCAGGTACTTTTCTAGGAGACTTGCAGAGGGTATTGGATGGGCTCCTAATGACAGCACTGGCTTGTAGTGCAAGTCTCAGTATGTATGGGCAGGATTCCAGAAAAAAGCTTCTCCTCCACTAAATTGACTGTTTCACAAGGATTTTTACGGAGTGAATCTCTGGGTTGCTGCTATGGTTCCTTTGTGAGAGCTAAATAACCCAAGGACAGGCAGGGCAAGGTTTTGAACGAATTTAAAGCAGTTGCCTTGAAGTGATTAGCATGATTGTACATACATGTTGGTTATTACACATGTAAATGAGACAAGCTAGCTGATTATGTGCGTAAGTGTAGCCAGTTTGTGTGCAACGGCTGCTTCCTGAGGCAGGGGGGATGTGGCCAGCTTGCAAGCCGTTAATCCCCCCATCCTCCAAATCCCCCCAAAAACTAG